GCAGTTTACTGACACACTCAGACACGCACTGCTACGTCTACTCGTATCTTCGGACAGTTCTGGTGCGAGTATCCGGCATCCATACTTTTGGGGGTTACATATCACTTTGCTCCTTTTGCGGCACGGCGCCCTGTGCACATCATCAGAGTTTCCTTAACTAGTTTGATGCCTCATAATGAGCATTTGTCGCAGGCCGCATAAGTACGTGGCCAGTTGTGTGATGACCAGAAGCCTGTGCTGCTGCTACTGCTGATGAGCTGCGAGGAGCTGAGAGAAGAGGAGAAAAGTGGGCGTCAGAGAAATGGCGAGGAAAGTCACTAACCAACAAACGCAGCTGTTGACCAAAATCAATCGAAGTGAATCAATTACGCCATTTGGCAGTGACTCCCATCCCCCGTTCTCCGTTTCCACTCCACACTGGATGCTATTTTAGCCTGCACATCTTATTCCCTTTCGCTTTCTCTGTCCAACTCTCCTTCTCTTCTCAATCTATGATGAAGGTCGTCGCACCGCCTGAAATGTATATCGAGTTTGGTAATCGTGACAAATTTTGTTGAATGATGCGCACACATCTACTACACAGATTCCACTTAATTGAAGCGCCACCATTGCCGCCATCGTCATGGCCATCGCCATTGTCGCCAAGTGGGCATAAATTTAGGACGTATACGTTATGTAGGTCCATGAACTGTTAATTTTTACAGATTTGCCATTGGGTCGTCCTTTCTTTCGTTGTCTTTTGTTTCGACGCCGCCTCTTCGTTTGACTTTGACTCTTGCCTACCGGAGATCTCTTAACCAATTTGGACCTTGTTTGAATTGGTTCCATCAGGGGCAGATCTACTTCGTTACTTCGTGTTTATTTCATATATGTTTGGTTCGATTTTTGTGCAAACTTCCACATACAGAGATCTCCCTTGATTGCTGTTGCATACGATTTTGGTTTGATTCTGTTGCACGACTTCCTCGCTAAAATTTTCTTATTTGAAGGAAAATGGCTATGCTCCCCTCGCTCTCACTCTCTCACCACCAAGTTACGTAATCGTTGTTAGCTGAAAGATCTTCTTTTTCGCTTACTGTTTTTGTGATTCTAGTCACTGCTTTTGTTCTTGGTCATCCTTCTCCTACTGCTCCTCATTTTCTTGCTGATACTGGCTCCACATCGTTGAATGCTGTTGACAGGCTTTCAGGGGACTTGTGGAGACCTCAGACGTAACAGTCACCCTTACTAATACTCGTACACCCGCCCATACAGAAAGATACTCCCACACTCACACAAAGCGAAAACTTGACACCCATTAAATTGAGTTTTTATATTGAGACGCAAGGGATTGTGGCATGAGGGTGAGCCGGGCTAACGGTAATTGAATTAGATGCCTCCCGCTATCTTGCTACCGCATTTCGCCTTTTGATACTGTCCCCCCGATCCCATCATGTCGCATAAATACCAGTAATGCGTATGGTATGGATCTTTTAGTTACTTTTGCGACAATTAAATGAAATTTATTAATTTTTTATGTCGCCAAGGAGCTGGAAGTAATTTACGACGCCAAAGAGTCGGCTAGAGAGTCAGAGTCGTTTTTACCCAGTAACCATTTTTGAAAGTTTCAAGTGGTCTCTTTGCCTGTCCCTGTCTTAGTCCTGACCCTGAGTGGCGTGGCAGTTCGGCGACGGGGTTCGTTGACAGATGACAGGGCGCAAGAGGCTTCAGCCGCAATTGTTGTTGTTCTTGTAATTTTTAAAAGGTGGTTGGAAAAGCCAAAGTAATTAACTATTTAGGAACCTGACTGGCAGCCCAGTGTTCAGGCCAGTTCAATCGCATGCCTCCCAAGTTGAGCCATATCTATTTTTATTAAAAATGATTCCATCGCAACGAGTCCATAAAAACTTATTCTCTCTTTTGCTCACATTTATGTTACTTATTAAAGAAATCTCTTCAGGTGCAGCCTTTTTAGACCAGAATGTAATGAGATCAGTTTTTTGTATCTGTTTCGCATCCAGCAAAGAACACATTATGTATTGGTCTCCCCATCATATATATGCCCCTCATTTAATCATAATTTTTTTCCAGAGTCCCTCCGGATCCATCATTGTACGCATAAATCTGGAACATTTTCACACACCGTTCTATGTCCTTTGAGTTTTGACAATAAATATCAACCATACACCAAACGGAGCCCAAAAAAACGAATTGGAGAAAAATGTACTGTAGTATGAGGAGGCCAGACCTTTCAGGAGTATATCAAATGGCAGTAAAGCATTCAGTTTCAAGCAATTTATTGTCGATAATATGCACATATTTCTCTATTATTGAGCTATATAACAGTTTGATAGTGTTTGTGTGTGGGAATGTGTCTATACTTTCTCTTTGATGTAGCTTGGGATATCCATGGAAAGCCCCGGCCAAGGCATTCAATTACAGGGCATTACATGGGTCGAGCTCGTCGACAGTTTCAGCTTATTTGTTAGTGCTGCGAGTTTTTTTTGACGTGTCCGGTCCGAGCACCCAACAACTCAACAAATATGCAGGCTGTATACCAAAGATAGCAGTAAACAGGACCCAACACCGCAGCAAGCGGTGGGGGGCGGGGACTGGCTTGGATGTTTGTCCAAAAGCCAGGAACAATAAGGAATATTGGATGGGGCCATACCATCACGGCATTGACCTCTCCCTCGTCCACCAATCCTCGCTACCTCCTGGTATTGTCAGTTGCCGCTTTTAGTTTTCTGTTTTCGGCGGATGCGGATGTGGATGTGGTAGTATGTTTAGTGATGTTTGCCTTAATTAAATTCCAGCATAAAAGGATTTTCTTTGGCCAGCTGGCTTTAAGCAGTTCCTGCACCACTATCCCTATGCTCCCAACCACTCGCTTTTGTATCTTTTGACAAAAGAATTAGCGGATTATTTGAGACACATGCCTGCTATTAAATGCCCCGAGGCATCGGCATAGATTTTAATTACGGCTATAAATCATAGAAAAGTCGGGGGAAGCCTTACCACCCAGCCACTCACCTCTTCTCCCCTTATTAACGACACATATATGAGAAGGAGGAAGCAATTTTATCCCATTCGCTACTGGAGCTCATTGTAAACCAGAGGAGGATATCACAGTCTTTGTGCCTCGACAATGACATACCACGTACTCAGTGTAGTCGTTGTCCGCTTCCTCTTCAGTGGATGCCACTGAGTTATTCATGATATTTTAGGGTCGCAATTGGTTTCTTCTGCACAAACATGCCTTTTGGCTCACGAAAACTAGGTATAATTACCGCACAGCACACACAGCCACACCTTGCATCACCGCAGTACCGCAACAGCTCCGTCGGGCTGTGGTGCAGTTTCATTGTTTTTGCGGCCTGGCAATCATCTGGGTGCCCTCGCAGTTCGTGGCCCAAATTGACAGCACACAAAAGATGCGCATTAAAAAGTTCACCTAATGGTCGTTGCCCGTTTGTCCTGCCACATCAACCACCCTTGGCAAACCTAAGCCCCACTCCATTACCCTCTGAGTACAGGCACAGGCACTGCTCGCTGCGGCACGTGCTGGGAATTCATCAAATGGCAAACATCAACGCCTTCATATGGCTGAAAAATTGTTTCGGTCTGGCTGGTGGCGTGGCCCTATGCTTTAAATTTTTGTGTGTGAAAGCCTGTTGGCAAAAGAGAAGAAGCGTTGCGCATAAAGAATATTAGGAAATAATAGAGTAATGGCTAATAGAGGGAACCACTTCAATTGTATATACGATTATGGGACAGCATAGCCAGCATAATATTACTCCTAAGTATGCGCTTGGCTATCATAAATCCCCAGCAGTGGGCTTCAGAGGTTCAGTGGGAAAAACAATCAAGGGGTGTTGGATTATTTCATATAATACTTAGATACTTCATATGAGCTGTAAAACATTCCAAAATAATTTTTTTCGGACTATTTAAACCGTTTGCTAATTGCTAAGTGGACCCCAGCCACTCGCACACGCTCGTTTTTTGCCCCATGATTGCAACTTTTATAATGGCTGGTCCACAGAGAGGCAGTGCGAGATGAGTTGTGTGGGGGAAATGGAAATCGCATATACTTATGTACATTTAGACTATTTGCCATTTAGAGTCAACTAAAACCCTTTTTGCCGGATCTGTGGGCATGGTAACTGGGCCAGACTGGCGCGTGTGGCACATAAATTTGTTGATACTTGCGAGAGTAGCACTTGCCACTTGTTCGTGGAGCATTTAAAATTCGAGAAAGACACGCCGCTCGGCATCAAACAAGCAACAGAGGTTATGAGGCTGCTGGGTCATTCATTGTCCAACATTTTTGCCATCGTTCGGCCACATGTCCCGCTGTCCCGCCAGGCAACGCCCATATCTGTTGCCTATTTTTGAAGACAAACAGGCATTCAAGACGTTAATCAAGATGGAAGACCCCAAGATTTACGATTTACCAGAACACAGGACAACTAGCAGCCGGCAACCTCTAGAGTCACTATACACTGAAACATGTTTTTGAATCTGCTCATTTTATTATACCCGTACTCAAAAAAGAGTTAATTTTATTGTTATTATATATGTATATATATAAATCTATATATTAGCAAAGACTAAATTGTATATTTTACCAACAAATTTTTGGTTTTTTCAAGCGGACACCACCTTATTCTGTTCGTTGTTAGTAAATAAAATTATACAATTTTTTTAAAATTTGTAGTGTAATGTTTTCGGATTGCTCATATTTTCCGTGATGTCATATTGCCATATTTTAATTTTAAAAATTAATTGTGTTTCAGTTTATGGTTATATTTCTGTTCTGGCACATTTTTGTTTGTTTGTGTGAACTACTCGTAGTTTGGTCAAAATATTCGTAACAGTATCAACTCGTATATGATTTATTAGCCATTTCGTTTCCTCATGAGAAACTTTTTAACAGCTAGTTTCGAAAGGTTTGTCCCTTCGTATAACCACTCAACTTTAATTTTTTATTTTTAGTCTGGTTTTGGTCGCCCTCTTACCGCTTTCCGCTTTTTGTTTTATTTTTTATTTTTCCCTTTGGCTGCCACAAAATCAGAACTGCAATCAAGAGAGAGATAAATATGACGACAAACATTTAAATTGTGATTTCAAATTTTGTGTGTCTGCGCTTGAGTAGAGATGGGGAGTAAAGGGGATCTCCGGGACGACCACTGCAATTAACTGGACAGTGGACGAGCTTATATATCACTCATACTTCCAGTTGGGTCCTCTGTCCTGTCCTGTCCAGTTCAGTTAATTTTTGTCCTCTGTACTACGAGTATAGTCCGGTTCGGTCTGTTTTCCAACTGATAAGAGACTCTCCCACCATCCTGTTTAGAGACAGCTGGAAGCCACTAGAACAGCAACGACCTAGGGGATCCCACGTCAGGCGACAGCCACCAATAATTGGTGCATAATTTCGGATTCAATTTTCGTCTGGTGTCGGTCTCTCGTCCGCTTGATGAATTCGAGCATCGGGGTCGATGACTAATCGGCTAAAAAGGGGTTGATTTCTAATTTATTTTCGGGTTCGCCAAGAGAAAATAAATGGCTCTTACCCTCTGCCTCCTCATTCCCTGACAAATCATTAAATTTTTAATAAGGTCTACAGAATATTTTATTTTTTGCTGTTGGCTGCTGTTTATGATGCTGCTGCTGTTGGGGGGTACTGCTAATTGCCACAAGGTTGGTGTCCAACCTTTAGGGTTCGACTCCACTCAAATTGCCATACATGTGTGCACTACCAAAAATCTGGTTGGTTCCAGATCTGGCCATAAGTGTTGCCTTTTTGTTTGGTTTTACTACGGAGTGGTGCTCTGGTGCAATGCCTAATTTTTTTTGGCCACTGTCATGATGCTGTCGCACTTAACGACAAGGCCAGAGCTGGCCAAAAAGCCAGTTGCCGAAAGTTATAATCAAACTATCCGTAAGAAAAAGCTAAAAAAAATTTTTAACGGGTAAATACATATAAATATTTATCAAAACTCTTGTCAGCTTGTCAGAAAAATTTTGGTAAGCCTTTCTTTTCCGTAGGACACAGCTGACTTAAGGACATTTATGTGCTGTCAGAGATGTGACAGGCTTTAAAAACAAGTTTCTTATAAGCCATGTGTGACAGTCAGACAGCCAGTGAATGGAGAAAGGCATGTTCCAATGATGGAGACATGATTGAGTACAAATTACCCATACGCCATGCATGATAAGCCTTATATAATAGTAGACTGTATGAAAAATCTGAGCATATTACGTACACGTCCTTAAAAAGTAATATTTTGAATGAATTCAAGACTTTCACTGCACATTTCATGCTGCATTTTGAAAGCAACGTTTCCATTCTGAGAGAACGAAAACAATTTTCCTGTAAAGTTTGTCTCTTCTCGACTTTCATTTGCTGGACTACTTTTCATTTTAAAAACTATTACTCTGCCCTTCAGATAGCAGCAGAAGACACTGACAATTGTCTACCGTCTTTGTTTGATTTCGCTAAGCGATTCTCCTACACGAAAGTAATTGCACTTTCTCGGCAAAAGGATGACATTGTTTCGGATTGAAAGTGGCAGCCGGACTGACACAAGAGACACGAAAGACTGTTGCCAGTTAGCCGGAATGCTATGTGACAAGAAGAGACTAGGGTGGGAAGTACAGAGTTCTGCGTAGCATGTGCATGGCAGTCCAGAAATCAATGCGTGTCTGAGAGACTAATATGTGCAGACATGGCAAGCAGAGTACGGAGGAGCTGTATTAAGGTAAACAATTTGCATGAAAGGTTTTAGGTTCATGGTCAAAAGACAGGAGGGGACTAGGCATTAGGCATATTAGGAACGTTTGACCAAACATTACTTTGGCATTTCAAATGTGTTAATAATGCAATTTTATTTGTTGTCTGTCTGACCAATACTCGGATCATACTCTGACATACAGACTCACACAAATGCGCAAGGGAAAAACGAGCCGAAAATTTACGATGCGTGTTGCCATCAACTGCCTGCCCACATGGCCTGTGTAACGAGCGAAATTCTGTGGCCTTTTTCAGACTATTTTTGAAAAGGGTTTGACATATAAGGCCCACACACAAACACAAAATGACAAAACGATGTCTTAACGAGCCCTCAACGAGCCGAAGAAATGCTCGTACAAAAAGAATACATACTAGTATACATTTACAAAACAAACAAAAATAATAAAACGTACAATAAAATAAAACAAAATTTCATTCAAAGCGAGACACAGCTGGAGAATTCCGCTGCCAGGGTTGGAAAAGGTGGAGTGGGAATAACTTCCTCTGGTCAGTGCTTAAGACACACATCCGAGCAACTTATCTGCATACATTTGTATCTACATATGTATGTATATGGACCAACCATCGAAAGCGTAGAAAATACTGAGTCCTAAAACTCAAGCTAAACCTTTTCTCCGGCACCAGATAAAGATAAAAAACATGGAAGGGGAGCCCCACAAATACTAACACAGAGGCTAAAAGTTAATTTGGTTAAAAAATAATTTCAATTCTTTGACATACTAGTATCGATAAATGACTGAAAATGAATTTTCGGGAAACAAGACTACCGGCACGTTGTACAAAGTTTCAATGGGATAGATACCGGATAGATATGTAACTTGGGGTAGTTCTGTGCCCTATGATTAAAAATTACATATGTATAAAAGATCTGTATATCAACTCAATTTCCCTACACCAATGAGTTTCCATTTGAAACGGGAGTAGCCACTTGTTCCTGTTTGTTTCGAGGAATGGAGGAGCTTCAGAACGGAGATTCATAGTGTGTTATTTAGTACATTCAGTACACATACTTAGACACACTGAAAGAGGTAAACGGCAGCGCTGGACCTTTTGTTAAACGTCTCAATTGATGCACAAGTGAGGATCCAACCAGATCCAAATCCGTTGCCGCCCAGCATTGTGGATTTCAAGATGAATGGGATACGTTTTTGTTTTGATGAGGATGAGGGTGCTCGTTTGTTCTTTAATGCGCTTGATGTTTTATGCAGAAAAGACGAGGATGGGGCTCAAAACAAGTGCCACAAATAATACATTTAATTTATTCATATTAAGATGGCCCCCTGATGCCCACTTGACCTGTCGCAGGCGTTATTAATGATTTTTTCTCGCCGCCAACACAAAAAACAAAAACCAGAAGGAACGTGTGACGACGCTGTGGACGCGACTCTACTTTTACACACGTACTCAGTAAATATATAAATACATATGTATGTGAGCTTGTGATTTATAAAGAATTCTAAAATATTTTATATATTTTGCTGTATCTAAAATGTAGATTTTATATCTAAAATATAGATTCATCATCTTCTTCGCGAAAGGTTGCGCACTGAACGAGGCAGAGTGTGCGAGCCAGAAAGAGAATAAGTAGCGTCAGCAGCGCTGGAGGAGGTGGGGAAAGGAACTGAAAATTAACGGGTATAAAAATACCAAACCAGCAAAACATACATGTAGTAGGGGGCGTGGAGGGGAATACAAACGTGTCTCCTTTACTATATTCAGTATGTGTGTCGGGTGGATTATTATTATTTTTTTCGATTAAATCATCGCAGCTACCACATTGCCACAGTGATCCGGTACTTGATGTTGAGTCGCTTGTGCAGAAAATGCGCTCGAATACAGCTTCTATCCGAAATTCCTTTTATCTCCAGAGTAGTGATTTTATCTGTTTTGTCTCGTTTTGTTGGTGTCGTCCTTCTTGTTTATGTTTTCTGACTAGCTATGTTGCCTAGTCCAGAATTGAGCTTTCTATGTACTTTTGTTGTGACAGGAAGAATATTAATTTGATTCAGTCTCAAAATCTACAGAGTCAACCAAAACACTGGTTAGTCAGTCCCATTGTATGAACAGAAGGATCTAAAAAAAACTTTCTTCTGGATATCAAATACTCGTATCTATCCATCTACCTGACAGGCTAAAATCATCTGATTACCGGGTATACTATAGTTGTTACACTTCTTACCTTCTTCTTGCTCGTGTAGTTTACTTTTCTTTGCTTTTGGTTTTCGTTTATTGTTGGTCACGAATTGGAGGTGATACAATGAATTGGGTGGCTTGACGAGGCGTTTCAAATTACACATTTTTGAATTGAGCAATTTGTATTTGGTTCCCCAGTGCCGGAATGCCGCGTCAACCCGGTGCTACGATGTGGCATCGTTTGTTTTGCAATAATGCCAATAATAACAATGCTTGCTACTTGATAAATGAGATGCCAAAGTGTGCCACAGGGCGGAAGGGCGGAAAGCAGGAGCGCCGATGGTAATGGAATGGGTTTTTGGTCCCCGAAGGTGTTAACTGTCATGGCCGCTTGGGCATTTCGTTTTCCTTGCCTTGCTTTCTGGGCAGTCAGTTGGTTCTGTTGGTTCTTGCTTTTGATTGAGTTGTAGGGCGTTTCCCCAGGCCAGCCAGCAGCTGCTTGTCCAATGCAAGGGCGTGGCCCTATTAGCATTGTATTTGTCAATGGGCTTGGGTCGAAACCATGTACATGTAGAAGGGGCCGAAGCCGAAACTATTAAGTAGACAAAATAAATTTATGTTATGCCACGGTATAGACAAAGGCATGGCACTGAGAACTATAAGGTGACCGCCTCGCATATCAGGATCTGGAACGCTGTACTTGAGTGAGAATTGTCAAAAATCAAGTTGGGTGTAGCAAAAATTATTGGTTAAGGATCTCTGCTTACATAATCTGCTCCCACAATCCACGATCTACTACCAAAAAACTACTTACAATCATAATACGAAAGTTTCATCCCAGAGTGTACTAATTAATTGACTTAATAAGCTCAGCGTTAGACTTCTCAGACTCCCCGACTAGTACTTTCTTCATCATCAGTGAACTTTTCAATTAACTCCGTATTTATCTTTCCAATAACTAACAAAAATTCAGCACTTTAAAATTTAAAGTTTAAATGCAGCACCAGGTATGCTATAGTCGGTGCGGTGCCTTGATCATAGATTCCCAATCTACTCGTTTGTATAACTCTCAATCTGATCGGGTAGGTGCGGAAACTTATGATCCACTTTAGAAAGCTCATTTCCT